CCCCCCCCCCAAAATGTTCTAGTTAAAAAAAAAGTGTGTCAAAACTAATTGAAACTTTTCATAATAAAAGGTTTAGACAAATCTGTGTTAAAAAAAATGTTTTTGTTGAAAAGTTCCCTGATCAGCTTTAGTGATCATTTTAACAGACATATCTTCTGACTTGTACACACATTAACATTTTCAGGAGCAAAAATGTGCATGCAATCATGTGCCAAATTCTTAGTTACCAAGACTGCTTATGTAAAGTTAGTAACTGGTTGTCAAACTGCATGCACAGGGTTGCTGTAATTGCACAAACAATTTAGATCTTTGTACATAACTTTGTAGCTAGTTATCCCAGTTAACTGGTCACTTAAACACACCTTGCAGCACATTGATACATTGCACATGTCTGCAGTTCTGAAGAATTACCCCTCATAGTCATTGTGAAAAGGATGATGATGATGATTATTTGGTAAGCACCAAGTCAGACACTGTTCAAGACACTGACCCAAATGCATGGAGTTTACAATCTAATAAACAGGCAGCAAAAAATGCACTGCAAGACCCAGCTCTATTTTAGAACACTTTGGGTTGATTTTGAATTCTCTTTAATGCCATAGATGGGGAACAGCACATTCACTGAGATGAGATAGCATTAGGCACAAGCAAAACGTCCAAAAAGTGACAGTTGGAATGACGCATCAGCCATGCCAGCTACTGTAGCCTCCACAATGGGCCTGCCAAGTCAATCCGTCTGCAGTGCATTGCAACAGAAAACACTGGTTTGCTTCAAGGAATTCCTGTGTTTGCTTTCATGTTTATTTTTAAAACTACTAACTCTGGCGTCCATCCCACCCTAATTAAGTATTTGTCATGCCAGAAAACTGACTCTCTCTCTGACTGAGACAATGGCCACACTGCATTGATGCTTGTTTCTGAACTCTCCCTAAGCAGCTAGATTTGATTCTTCCTAAATAAGCAGCTTTAATTGGTGGAGGAGATTTTTGTTCTCTCTCTCAAAGGAATTAATATTCTGATACACTGATCGCCCTTGATATTAAGGTTTCATTGATAAAGGGTTAATAAATTATTAGTAGATGTTTAATAAATGGTGAATCGATTGTTATAGATTGTAATAGAGCCCAACACATTGTTTATAACCATGGTTTATAACACTTTCTACTGATGGGCTTATAACCATGTATAATAAATATTACCTGAATGTTTAACATCCATTAATAGAAGCTTAATATGAAGTGTGGCTGATACATTTATGGAAAGAAGCCTAGATTCTGCGGTGATGGGCAGAATCTGTATAGAAATAAGTATACAAATAAATACATGCATAGCTGGAAGGCTATGTAGCTTTTAAACGGTCCCTCCTAAGGCTGCTCCAAGAGGGCTGAGAAGCTCAAGAGAACTTGTTCTGGGCACCACTCATCCATGCTAAAGATAGCAAGAAGTGTGCTGGGGAGCTCAGAGGGAGACAATCAAGTGTTTTAAACAGAGATTTGAGAACCCACAACAATCATTTTGCAGCCTCATGGCTTCTTGAATTCAAAGCCTATTAGGCAGTTTTACGTATTTAGTTGTTCTGCTTGGGGTGGGGGAGGTTTTATTAATCTTTGAATAAACTTGTTGAGCTTCCTATCATAGAGATTTATGGGACCACAGAACTACATGGGCTCCACCCTCTGTTCTCAGAGTAGCAGCCGTGTTAGTCTGTATCCGCAAAAAGAACAGGAGTACTTGTGGCACCTTAGAGACTAACAAATTTATTAGAGCATAAGCTTTCGTGGACTACAGCCCACTTCATTCTTCGGATGAAGTGG